CATAGCAAATTCCAGGACCCTACCTCGAGTTAAGTGCTCTTCTGTGGTTGTTAGTGGTGGTTCACGCATGGGCGTCTCGTGCTGTTCATCCAGGCACGTTCGTCTATCAGCCCAGCTACTGCGATCGAATCATGTTTCCATTTAGAAACTTTTCGTAGCCGTCTTTGACGTATTTGATCTCGGCCGAGGTTTTGCCAAGCTTTTTCATAGCACGCTTGACTTTGCCTGACGAATACCCCATATCCCTCCAAGTGGATAGTGCCGTAAACCACGTGTTAGCGTCTCGGATTATATCATCGTACAACGCCGAGTTTTTCAACCACTTCAGCTTGATTTGGTCTGCTTGTTCCTTGGTGACACCAGGCGGGAGCTTCGACTTCCCGAAGAAGCCCCTCTCTTCCTCCTTGTCGATGTTAATATCTTCGTCTTCACGCGTACGAAGAGATCTGCCCCCAGCTCTCTGGTATTCGGCACCATTGTGGGCCAAACCCCTGGGCATATTCGAGTTCACGACCCTGTTTAGGTCCGTTGGTGCTACTAGTGCATTGCCACTGTCGAGCAGAATAACGGCGGGAGCGAGGAGCAAGGCGAATGAAAATCGCATGCTGTTCTGGACTTGGGTGCGGATGGCTAATAGGTAATTTGAGGAATGAAACCTGTACCGATGTACTACTTTGATCGTCGGCAATACCGTTTGCACGTTCGAACTTAAAGTGTGAATTAAGTTTTATTGAGCACTCGTATAACTTTATCATTCTAGAGTCTTTTCCCCTCGATGAAGTAATCCTCTCGTTTGCTTATGCAATTTTGCTACTGTCACAATAGATAAAGTCAGATGGTAATTAAGAATTTCTGGCTCATTTTCATTAACAGCAGTTCGTACTGCTACAAACATGTCCAAGTTATGAATGTTTATCTCAAGTTTATTATTATAATTAATTGCCAAACTAGCAGATTTTTAATTACTTAATGGGGGAAGTCGAACCTGTTTTCACAGTGTTTGGACGATTTGTTCCTACTGGTCTTATTTTAGAAATCAGCCACCTCTTAGATCAAATAGAGGTCTCCGCTTGGCAGTTATGAGAGGGTGAGATCCAATTAGGCATTTAAGGGCTTTTGCATTTAAGGTGTTTTTGACCCCGAGTACCGCGGTTCATGTAAGGAGAGCATCTTTGCTCATTTCTAAAACCAAGCAAATCTTTTTTTTTAAATAAGGTTCAACTTCCCTAATGTAGCGTGCAATATCTCTAAGACTTCTTATTCTCTTTGAACAACACAACTACATCGGAACGCCCCCGATTTGAGTTATTTGCCACTATGTACGCAAGGACAAACCCACAGGTGCTTGTTATCAGTGCCTTGACCAAACATTTCGCTCTGTTGGAGAACAGTGTTTTGATTCTGCAAGGTGCAGGGGTTAATTTACAGGCCATTGTTAGTCACCATCATAAGTTGTGCTGCACTGTATACAAACGGCAAAGATGTTCCTGGATATCAAGAATTCTGATTCATGATTCCAAACCAGATGGCCTTGCGACATAATGTACCTATAGTAAAATACATTCGACAGCGATCAAGCACTGCATGCATTATTACAGGGTGTGTATCACTGGAGTTGGTGTATCATTGGACATCGGCTCAATGAAGAGCATCAGACATCGCACTGCTTGGTTGGGCAACATTGTCCTCTGCTTCGTTCGACATTTCGACGGTGGTAAGTCTGGGCGAGTACGGAGTAATTGCGTAATTCTGAATCTTCTTATCCCTTATCCTCCTTATGTCCGAGAGAGTAAAACTGCTATGAGTAATCAAAAGTAAACAGCATATGTAACAGCTGTAGCAACGTATAAGAGTAAACAAAAGTAAACACTTACAATGTACGAAAGTTGCTGGTACAGTACAACCTGTCCTAACTAATATAATCGCCGTTGTCAAGGCCACCATCAGATATAGCAATAATATCAGATAGTGGAGGATGGTAAAAACCCAAGGGACTAACACTTCGAGTCATGGGCTTGAGAGTTATATATAGCTCGTCTCCGGGTTGTTTAGGGTTGCCTTCAGAGTTTTGCGATGGGAAGGAAGGCAAAACACGTCGGGAACCCGACCCGGGAGCACAAAAACAAAATATGCACGTGAAAACGAGTCTTTCCGGGCCTAACCCAACTACAGCTAGCTGAAAGGGCAGAGCATGAATTTGCTCTGGTTAAACTGTGCAAGGAACCATCTTTGCAATCCTCGAGGAAAGCGATCGCTACCTCAACGTCCGGGACGATAACCGAAATGTACGACGATCAAGATCACTGAACAGCGATTGAGAGTTCGTGATCTGATGGACATCGAGGAATTCGTTTGCAACCGGAGCGAACAGCATAGAGAAATGTAGACAATCTCGCCGGAGGCCTTATTGGACGAGTCATTGGACGTTTGTTCATTCAGACGTCGTCTGGTGAGTCCCACGAGCCTGAGAATGGCATTGGAGAGAATACAGAGCAGCATTTTCCCACACAGACCCATTTTCTCGAGGTGTATCGAAAGCGATATTGTACTCAACCGAGCAATGAGCATGCGTCCGGCCGCTTCCTCCACTCCGACACCACCCACCAGCAGTCATGCAAGCCCCAGTGTGTCGTCCAAGCTGGGCGTTGCCCTTTCTGGTGAAAGAAGGCTGCTTGTGTTGCTGAGACCGGATTCGGAAGGCCACAGTGACATGGATTCCAAAATTCAAACACATTTTTAAAAAGGAAGTAAAGCAAACTAGATACTGGAATCAGGTATCTAGTTTGTTTTACTTCCTTTTTCAATCGAAATAGTAAGAAATATTGTTTCCAGGGATCTAAAAACATTTTTTGCCAAAAAAGTTTTTTCAAGGAGGCATGCTTTTGTGAGACTCGTCGCTCAGTGAGCTTTTCACTTTTTGTAGATCTGAATGCACCAATCGAAAGAGGAGATCATCCTCTTTACAATGATGCCCAAATCGCGATTCGTACTTAGGTGTGTAAGCATCTTTTCGTTTGACGCCGTCTCATCACAATATTATAGTGAGGCCGAGGTTTGATAACGACGCATTTTCCTCCGCTAACGTAAAGATAACAGAGTACTAAATTAAGTACTACGCTGTCGATCGGTTAATAGCCCCCTCTTTCTCCTGCTACCGATAGGCTTTCACATTCTTGATTTCTTCATGGTTTTAAATCGATCTAATAAGTAGCTCGGAACTCTGGGTATACAGATAGTGTGTTCTATTGGAATAATGCAAGCGAATAAGTGCAGTCTAACGCACCATTGAAGGCTGCTAGCTACTAGTAACGTCGGACTGGGTTGGGTCGTCTTGTGCATCACAAATTCATCTTGAACGGTCTGGCCCGAGCTCAAAATATACTCCCATACCAGCGTCGTGCGATTCTCCTTCAACATCGAGTACCCAAATTTTCATTGTCAGCACCACGTCAACCTTGTATTTGAGTAATAGATCTTCAAATGCTGCCTGAATCTTTGAAGTGTGGTCGATGGGGACGTCGTATTCAGAATTGAGGACACTGTAGATCGGGCGGTGCATGCCAACGAAAATCCACGGTACATTCGCACGGTTGGCGTCTGCCTTCTTGAGATCTGCTTCGATCCAACTCAATTAATCGCCAAAGTTACCATTATCGGTCCATGCAGTAAATACGTTCGCTGGTGCATCTGGATAATCGGACTCTGACGATACCGAAGTAAAGTGAATCGGACCATGGTCAAAGGAATGCCACATGTTCAATGCCCCACCACGTAGACAATCTCGCCGGAGGCCTTATTGGACGAGTCATTGGACGTTTTGTTCATTCAGACGTCGTCTGGTGAGTCCCACGAGCCTGAGAATGGCATTGAAGAGAATACAGAGCAGCCTGCCCGAGAGGAAAATAATCAACAGAAGAAGAACGCTGTTCGCAGGGTTAACTGTATGTTTGCTGATCACCCAGACTCGGAGGACAAGATAATGAAAACCTTCGTTTCCTCCAAAGCAGGATCCGTGAGCAACTAAATTTGGAAAAGGAGACATCGATGACCAAGACTTCTATCACTGCTTTTTTTTTTTTTAATGATGAGGAGATCTAGATGCTTTTTAAACACCAATAATATATTTGTTTTAGTATCAGATTCTGAAAATATCGTATCAAGTATAGCGATTGGCAGGATTATCAATTCTTTATTAACTTTTGACTGGGAACCGTGTCGGTGGACCCGATCCGCATCATATATAGCAGGATATCAGCGATGAGAGGGATCGTTTAGGACAGGATTTACTGTACTTACAGAATCTTGACCAAGCAAGAGACCATCGCTTGAATGGTCTCTATGGGAGGAGCTAAAAAAAATTGTGGCAAGAAAATATGTGTGCGTTTCACTTACGAGTGGTTTGAAAATCATTATGAAGCACTATCACAAAAGCTGAACACTAGAACACTAGAGGATGTCTTGGAACAAAAGGCTTTATTGTGAAATATGAGTTTAACCCATAGCAAATTCCAGGACCCTACCTCGAGTTAAGTGCTCTTCTGTGGTTGTTAGTGGTGGTTCACGCATGGGCGTCTCGTGCTGTTCATCCAGGC